AATTTTTTTTTTTTTTAAATTTCATTAAGTGGGTGGGGGTGACATGTTAAAAAAAAAAAAAGAAAAGGTATTTCTAAAATAATTTCATGCATTGTGAATAAGTCCTGAAAAGTTTCATTAAAATCTGACAATTATTTCATTTTTCGAAGAATTTCCAAATCAATATAATTTTAAATACCCAAAAAAAGACAAGATTTTCTAGATTAATCTTTACTGAGGCAAGAAAAACAAGATTTTTGACCAAAATTTTGAATGTGCTTGAAAGGATTAAAAAAATTTTTAAAAACTACCTTGTATTCCCTCCTTTATAACAAATGTTTTGATAACTTTATCAAATTTGAGGTCTTTTTCATCATGCTATGCTTTTTTTCAGTGAATTATTAGAGGTAATATATAAGATGTAAAAGCTGTTTCTAAAAATATTATAAAAAAATTGTTTTGTAGACAATTCACCTTTTCTTTTTTTTTTTTTTTTTTTTTTTAATTAAATCACTTTGGCAAAACTTGAATTTGTATTACAATTTCTTAACTCCTCTTACCTATTGAAAATAGATAATTCCATTTATTTTTTAATATGGAGAATGTGTTTAAATCAATTATATAAGCTGATGTAAAGCTTACTAGTAAATTAACTTTTTTTTTAATTTCTCAATGCAGTATTAAGAATTGATCACTTTGTAAAATAAGTTTTTGAATTGTTTACAATCAATTTTTAATAAATTGATTTTTACATTTGCTTTGAATCATAAAATTCCATAGTGAAGTTGTTTGAATATTGAATAATTTTTGTTAAGTTACTTGGATTTTTTTTTTTTTTATGCCGGTAAAACATTTCTGCTAGTTTTAAATAATTTTCTAGCTTATAATGTATATAAAGTATTCACATAAAGACATATCAATAGTCCAGAGTCTAGCATAATTATTACCTGAATTTTGATAGGAAAATGTTTACTATATAATTTAATAGAAAAATTGATATAAGTGTATTAACAAGGAATGTGCAAAATTAATGCATCTACATCTTTTTAAATATCACACTTTTGGTAAGATTTTTAATAGATTTAAGCCTTATGAGATTGAGGATCTCCATAGAATACCAGTTCTTGATATATTTAATAAATATTCTAATTTCATATACATTCCAGTGGTATTCCAATAATACTTATTATTCAAAATTGAAAGACAGATTTTCTTAAATAGTTCATTATATATATATATATATATATATATATATATATATATATATATATATATATATATATATATATATTGGCAGTATATGATTGAATGCCTAATGAGCAAGAATATTTAAGTGACCAGAACACATGAACATGTTATGTATTTAGATACTTGAAACAATATGTATGATCTCGTAATTGCTTAGTAATATAAAACTTGTAGTGAAACAATTTTATAGATTTCTGGTATATACAAATGATTTGAGCAATATTTAAAAATATAGTGGGTGGGGGAACAACTATTTTCATCAAGACCTAATGTGCTAAGATTAGTGTTAACCTTCATTTAAAGCTAAAGCTTATTTTTTATTTATTGATCTTGCACTGAAAATCCATAATTAAGAGTTTGTCTCTCTCTCTCTCTCTCTCTCTCTATATATATATATATATATACACACACACACACACCTAAAATCAAGTCATAATACAGTTATTCCAACCACCAGCCAAGATTGACAATTTAAAGACTTTCATAAAGTTAAAGATCTTTTCAGAATCTTTGTAATTGTTTTAATGACTTCATAGGATAAATTGATATTACTTCAACAAAATATTTTTGAACAATGTTTTTTCTTTTAATAACAGATAATTGCTATTATAATCCAGGTTACTTTTTTTTTTTTTTTTTTTTTGTCATTTAACAAGAAATTTAAAACTAGTTACATATTGAAGCCACAACAGCATACACTTAAAGTTTAATGGCTTTCCTAGCCATTTGTATTCCTGGAGTCAAATCAGTTGAAATGTGATAAAGCTAATGTTTTTACCAGATTTACTTTTAACACACATATAAATATTAAGATAAATGATCTTAATTCATTTTAGATAATCATCTGTTTTACAAATTAAGTATTCCATATTGTTTACTCAACAAGCTGAGGTTCATCTAAGTTCTACTTTTAATTTAAAAAAATAAAATAAAATAAAACTCATTGCCATTTAAAGAAATTTGTAGAAATGAAGATGCTTGTGAACTTTATCTCAAATATAAAATAAAAAAAATTCATTAAGTGATATAGGGCAACTATATTGGCAAACAATATTGAAACACCAATCTTAATAGCATCAGAAATTTATATTGATGTGTATAAATTAAATTTTAAAATGTTCTATTTGACACTTATATAATTTCCAAACTTAAAATTAATTTGTGGTTTTATTACTATCTTCATGAAACTTTTCTAAAATTTAAACTTTCATGAAAGTTTTTATCATCCATCTCCATAAGGTATGAAATTGAAATATATAAGCAAAAATATCTGAAGAGTTGTTCTCTCTCATAATTAAATTTTAAAGTGCCTAAAATTTTGGAGGTACTCAGCATTTCATAAGTGAAATGTATTCAATAAATTTCCAAAATGCCCCACTTTTTTTTTTTTTTTTTTTGCATTATGTATTCATTGTAATTAAAATAAGTTTTAGTTACCATTTGGATATTAAAAAGGTGTGATGAAAGAAATTTATGGCAAAAATATTTTCTAATCTCAGCATTATAATTTACTGAAAATACTATATACAATAATTTTGTTCATAATTTGATTTTTTTTTTTTTTTTTTTTTTTTTTTTTAATAGTTTTTCCTTTTGAAGTAACCACATACTTTAAAAAATAGAACATAAAACTGTACATTTTCTATCTCAATACACTTTAAATCTATCACTTGCTGTTTTATATATAGATTTATTGGAATATCTTGTTTTTCTTACTGCATCAAGCCTGTTTCAATAATCCAAAGTCAGTCATTTTGGTTAAAATTCTTGATCTTAACATGGATGTATTCTTCACTTATTCTCACATATTTCATGTGTTTGGTTTTTTTCTCTTCTCAGTGGTTCTGAAGCTGAGCCTCAAGATTCCTGCAGACTGAGGTTATCTAGTAATCAGTCTGAAAAATAAAATCTAGCAATTTGTACTGAGTAGAATAACATGCTAATTCTTCCAGTATTTGTATGAAGCACTTCATCTTTTCTACTAAACACAGGTTCCTACATCAAATGGAATTTTATATTTGTCCTGTTTATGTAATTCTGTCAGGTTTGCATATATAGATTTTATCCACTTTAGTTTATAAATTGTTTGCTATACTTACGATTTGGGATGGATATATATATATATATATATATATATATATATATATATATATATATACACACACCTACCTAATTTTAAAGATTGGTTGGTTTCATATTTATATTCTCAGTATGGTGTATTCTAAATTTTGTTCCATTTTTATTATGGAGTTCTCATCTTTATAAAATTTATTGTCTTGCTAGTAGACACCATCTTCTGCAAAAAAAACCCCCAAAAAACTATGAACCTGACATAATGCTACATAAACATTTGTAGCATAGAATTCAATATTGCAGATACCTGTGTTGAGGGAGAAAAACAATTTACTACAGCTTTCTGTAGCTAAAAACATTTTGGTGCATATGCTGGGAGAATTAGCATATGTTGCTCTATTCAGTATATGTAGCAGATTTTTTTTTTTCTGGATTTACTACTAGATTGTTTTTTCTTTCAGGAATCTTTGCTGAGGATGGACAAAGAATACATCAGCTGAAACCTGGAATGGGTGGAAATTTAATAAACATTTTCCTTACTTTTGACTATAACATAATTATCTAGAGTATTTTTTTACCATAAATTATTTTAAAGTGTTTTGGATTTTTTTCCATCTTTTCAAAAATTAAAAATTATATATGGCAAATAGTCTTTCATACTGCATACTTTACAATAGAAATCACTGGCACAAAATAATAAAAAAGAAGCCATGCAAATGGAGGTATAATGATTTTTTTTGTATTGAAGTAGCTGGGAACAAGACTATTTAGGGACCTTCATCTTCAAGTTTTTAAGATTTTGAACTCTGCAATTTCTACAAAAATGGTTAGCTAGGAAACAGATTCCAATATCAACTTTTTTTTCTTAATGATAAACCATAAACTCATTGACTTTGTTGAACAAATTTTCTGATGAAAAAGCACTGAGAATTTTTTAAAAGTAGGATATAACCAAATATTTCAACAAAAAAAAACTTTGATAACTCAAAAAAAATGTAGAATACTGAACATATTTTATTTAGTCAAAGACTTAAGGAAACAAGGCAGATTCTCTCTTCTACTGTACACTTTGCAATAGCACAGCTAAGTCAATATATAGTATAATGCTATTAGTATAAAAAGTGTAAAACTACATAGGGCGTGTTTAATTTATATTGATACTCAGTATTTTGATCTGTAAATATAGGTTGAATTATCTGAACTAAATATAAGTTTGTATAAAAGAACTGCTTATTTCAAAACCAGCTGACATAAAAATACCGGGATATACAAAATTGGTCATTTTTTAAGTTCTGAAATTGTCAGATTTTACATAAGGATTTTAGTACGTAGTTATAATAAAAATGACCCAGTTTGAATATCTTAGCTAAAAAAGTACATTTTTAATATTTTAGTTTTTATAATCTTGTGAATTAACCAATTGGTTATTTGTGTTTGTTTTTTTTTTTTTTTTTTTTTTTTTTTTTTCAGCTATTTATACTGAGCTCTTGTTTTAAAACTTTCTGCATGTAAAAGTTTTATGAAAATCTACTTGAGATTAAGTATTTGAATAATGTTAAATTCTTCTGGGTTTAAAATTAAATATCCTTACTATTGATTAACATATTTGCTTATCCAGTGAAATAATTTTGATTTTAATTTTGAAGCCATAATGATTTTTTCCCCCCCTCTGTACTCATCTTATATTTCTTCAAATCTAGGTTCGATTTGTTACCAGGATTTGGCATCCAAATATTAGTTCTGTAACTGGAGCTATTTGTTTAGATATACTCAAGGACCAATGGTGAGTATTTAAATTTTGTGTAAAAGCTCAGTTTGAAACCCTGAGATTAGTCTTGAAAAATAATGTCTGATCATATTTGTTAGAGTATTATGTGATAATGCTCTAGTTTAATTCCAAAATCTACCAAAAAATTGCTTATGGAGCATTTCTATATATTTTGAAAATTTATATCTAATCTGAAAAATAAATTAAGACAAATGCAGTGCTCTCAACACAAGATTCTTTTGTGTATAAGTTACTATGGCTTCTTGGGAAAGATAGTGGAGTAGTTTCCTATTTCTTTCAGTTTTTTTTTCTCTGAGCCTGGCTACCATCCAAAATTAAGAGTGCCCAGTTTACCCTGCTATTTAACCCATAGCTGGGGAGAAGATGAATTCATATTTTCTCCAAGGGCATTTGTTTGAAAATGAACATAACAGACAAAGCCAGAATTTGAACTTTGTTTACCAATTCCACTTTCCATGCTGGTTGTTACTTAAACATTATTAATGAATTGAAAATTAAATGATCTGATAGACTTCACACTAGTATATCAAATTATATAATTTAAGAATCATTAATGTGGTTTCTTTTCAACTTAAAATAACAGGGCTCTTGGAACTGGGGAAAATGGGTGAACCTGGTATTATCAGAGCATTTTCTCTGGAGGCTATAATTTATTTGCAATAAGTTGTTTTGTTTTCTGGATTAATAAATTTGTTTTATTCATCAATTTTCAAACTACACTTTTGCAAAATTGAGCTACATTTTGTAAATGCTGGTTTAGCACCTTCCTTTAAGGAACAGATCATGAACAAATTGGTACCAAAAGGTCCTTAACTGCTTATCAAATTTGTTAATGTTTTGAAAGGTCATTCAATAAAGTTAGTTAATTCATATCTATTTTGATGAAGTTGCCAAAAGAGTAAAGTTTAGCTTGGTTCCCAATTCATGCAACATGCACAGGTAAATGAGTTTGACTTGATTTTAAAGAGGCCCACAAAGGATTGGATATTGTAAATAATTTGATACAATTATCCATGGATGATCCTCATGTTAACTGAGCCTTTCATAAAGAACTTGAAAAGTACCATTTACTGGCAAACTTAAATGCACCATCATTAATTGGAACTGGGAGTTGTGGACTTCATGTTGTATATGGCACTTTTAAAATAACCTAACAGTGCACAGGATGGGACAAGAAAAACAAAAAAACAGAATATTAAAAAAAAACACTAGCTCAAAGATCCTGACAGCAAATGGCTTGAAAATGCAAATTTATAGCCAGACTTTTTGAGTTGATTGAAAAGCTGAAGATAATTTTAGTTTAATACCAAGAAAAGATTTCCTAACAAAGAGTGGTTCTGTCTTCTGCTACAAAACTCCTCATTCAAAATTTTTCCAGCATATTTTGAGTTTTCATTGTGTGACAACAGATCTAGAAACTTTTCTTGTACTGTTTCAGGCTGAAAACTATTGGTTGTTTTCCTTTATGAAAAACTGGAAGGACTTCCCCATTAAGGAGTGCTTTGTCAAACTTTATCTCTTAAAGGAAAATTCAAGTGGATTTCACCTCCTATTTTTAAAGATAAGAAAACTTAAAAAAAAAAAAAAGATGGCAACAATGTTTTGATTCATCTTTTTGAGAAATTGGTGACAAAATGTCCACTGACAGGTAAATGGTAGTGGGTCTTTCTTTTTTGTCCCTTACCTAAATTTTGTTTGTCAAATCAGAGTATTCAAAAAGATTTTTTAGATGAAAGAAATTGGGTCATATTACATATTCTGCAGCTAAGAAATTAAAAACAAGACTAAAGTTTTTTTTAACTAACAACAGTTTTATTAATGAACCAAAGTGTAGTATATCTAATGATTGTATTGATGATTTTTACATTTTTGGATTTTTTCCGACATATTCTGATCTAAATTCTTTTGCTCATTGAGTAGGACGTATAGAATCTTTTTTCTAGCCATAAGTTATTTGAAGAAACAATCCAGAAGTGGTCCAGATTGGTTTATAAATGTATTATGCAAGAAGTATCAATGAAAGTTCTTATCTTGGAAAAGGAAGAAATAAAATGTTGGAAGCTACCACTGGGTCTACTAAACAGCTTGTGAAAAATGAAAGTAAAACTAAAAGATAAAGAGCAGAAAACTCAACCTTCAAAATGAAGAAGGCTTTACAAGATTAGTTGCAAAAACTGTTTCCGAAACGTTTTATTTATTTATTTTTTCTGATTCAGTGACATAGGAGTGTATATAATTGTGATTGTTCCAATTCCCAGAGTTGGATATAATTTCTGAACATAAATCCAGAAATAGTATATGCTTTAACTTAAGGACTCTTGTTTTTGTTTTCTCAAATTGAGAATCACTTTTCACAAGAACTGGTATATAATTTTTTTGGTAATTATCTCTTCAGTTCTATTCTGAGGAGATTCAAATGTCCATTATTGAATATAGCAAATCTTGTAATTAGGTAACCGAATTTAGCCTCAGTATATCTTTGATTTTGAAAATGCTGGGAAGTTTGATATCTGCTGAAGTTTCAATTTTGCTTTTCTATTATCAATATTTGATCTGCAGATATTAGGTTTGAGAACTCTTCTTACAATACATATTTGTTAATTTGTTTATAGATTCCTTTATCTCTAAAGGATGTTTTCTTTATTATACAGATGATTATTCTTTCTTGTGAATACTATCTATGAGCTCCTGATGAAAAATATTAGGTGTTTTTTTTTTATTTTTTATTTTTTTTTTATATTATCAAATGGTATAGGGGAAAAATAGGATTGACAGGATATTTTATTTCTCAACATTCTGATGGAACAAGAGATGTACATATATGTTTATCTAGAATTCCTTTCTTGAATATTCACCCCCTCTAAGATAAAGCGGAAATAAAAGATTGCAAAATACTCAGATAGTAAGATTTCCATATTTCAAAGAAATTTAAATCCAGTTAAAGGAAAATTTTTTTTTTCTTTTTTTTTAGTTGGTTGTTAGCTTCTGTTTTTCTGATATAAGTTTTGAACATAGGTCCATAAAACAGTATACACTTTAGCTTAAGGACTATTGTTTCCTCTGATTGAGAATCACACTTCATAAGAACTATATATGATTTTTATGATCACTATTATCTATTGAGGAGATTCAGATGTTCAGTATTGAAAATAGCAAGTCTTAACTTCCAACTATCTGATAGATAATCCAACTTAGAATGAGTATAATTTTATATCTTTGAAAATGCTGGGAAGTTTGATATCTGCTGAAGTTTCAATTTCACTTTGCTATTATCATTATTTGATCTGAAGATATTAGGTTTGAGAACTCTTCTTACAATACATATTTGTTAAGATTCAGTTGTCTCTAAAGGATGTTTTCTTGTTTATTACCTCTTTTGAATATTATCTATGTGCTCTGATGAAAAATGAAAGAGGAAAACCTGACATTGTAAGATATTTTTCCACATTCTGAGAGCCATGAGATTTATTTTTTTCACAAATGTGAAAACTCATCACTGTAAAGAGTTATTTGAAAATACTTGGCTTCCCTTTTATTCAGTCATGACATTTTCTCTCTCTCTCTCTCTATCTCTCGTTGAAATTAGATTGGGCCAAAGATAAAACCATCTTTGGCCTGATCTTTTTCCCCTTTTTTATCTTTGTTTATTTGCCAAAGATATCCTTTCAAATAGGACAAGGAGATTTACTCAAATGTGTATAATCTTAAAAGCATTAGAATAATCAAAATATTCTCTTAAAAATTAATTTTATTATAAACTTGTATATATTTTTATTTTTTTAATTTTTTTTTTTTTTTTTTTTTTTTTGTAAATGAAACCTGAAAATTGTTCTTCAGGGCAGCTGCTATGACCCTTCGGACAGTTCTGTTATCACTGCAAGCCTTATTAGCAGCTGCTGAGCCTGATGACCCACAGGATGCTGTAGTAGCAAGACAGTACAAGGAAAGGCAAGATGTTTTTCAAAAAACAGCTACGCATTGGACAAATGTATATGCTGGAGGTAAGAAGCTTACTTATTGCTGCAATCTAAAGAAATCAGAATATATGACCAATAAGTGATCTCTTGAATTCATAATTTAAAACACATTTATACTCTATTTCCTTTTTAAATTTTCTAGTTCAGATAGTCACTTGAATTTTTTATATCAATGTGATTATTATAATTCTGTAGATTTCACAGTACAGTGAAATAGTTAATTGTATACAGAAAAAAAAAATGTCCAACTACTAAAGTAGTTTGATGCAAAAATACAAAATGACTTACAAAAACAGTAGGGGCTGGGGAAATTATTGCTCTACACTATTTAGAACTCTATCAACAAGTTTTTGTGTCCAACAAGGAAAAAATCCGTATCCCTCATTTCAAACAAACCAACTTGAGTCCAAGCAAGCATTCCTTCTGCATACACATGGAAAGCTGTCACAACTTAATAAATATTGTTTCAGGTGGCAATCAGTGTGACCTGCTTAGGAATTAAGAACATGTTCCTTCAGTATGACACAACACACTCATGATTTTTGTATGAGGTTTTCCATGATGGCAGATCTGGATGTAATGGCAGACTTATGCAAATTGTGTAGTTGGCATTTCCTGATATACAAGGTATATTTGAAAGTCCTAGAAACTATTTTCATAGTTACAGCAGCCTTCCCTGCAGAAGGGATGGTTGCTAGGATTCAATGTGGTTTGTCTATAAAAACATTGTTTTCATTACATTACTGACACAGGATATGGGTTTTTCCTTATTCCTTTTTAGTTGGTTGGGTACAAAAATTATTTTACTATCTTCTGTAGAGTGGGAATGATAGTTTTTTTGTTTTTTTTCTGCTTCTCTTTGTCATTTTTGTATTTTTTTTTTGTATCAAACTATTTTAGTGGTTTGTTTTTCTCTTACACCCTTATGAATGCAGTTTTGTACTGCCAAGTTGACATTTGAGTAATTAAATTCATGTACATTAAGTTTTGTTTTTTGTTTTTAATAAAGCAAAATTAAAAAGCATACTTGTAAGATTCTCCTCCTTACCCCCATTAAAATTTATTGATAATTCTTTGGATTCTTGTGCATCGGAATATGTATGACTTAATGTATCATTAATTTAAAAATGTGCAATGGATGCTTAAAACATTAGTTTAAACAAATTATAATGTCCTTGATTACATGACTTTGGTCTTGGCAACTCATGAAAATATTTGATTAGCTTTCATGTATGCATAAATTGAATTGTTTTATGAAAGTGATTCATTCGTTGAAAGTGAAGTCTTGAAAATTTGGACTTAGTAATATTATACATGAAGATGTTATTGCTTCTTGCTAAAGTGTTTGCATTTTCATTTCTAGAAATTGCTTGTAGTTTTTCCTTCACTTTGTGACAGATGTGTATATTCCATAGGTGACTCTTTAAATTTTACTTGGCGATACATATTCTTACTGGGATATTGTTTAGACCTTTTTAAAAAGCCTAAATTACAAATACTTGTTCTTGCTTTGCATATTTTACTAAAAATTGTTCAGGCAATATTTAAAAGCATAAATTTACTTTCTAATTTATTCAAATAAATCCCTTGAAAATATTTTTAAAAAATGGGGTATAAGAAAAAATTCAAATATTTGTTTATATAAAATTTGTTTAACTTATATTTTTTATAAGGGCCTAACCATGCGGATGATTTAGAAGACAAGGTTCGACAGTTAACAAATATGGGATTTGAGGAGGTAAGTGAATACTTAAACTAATATATTGAAATTTTAGAAATCAGTTTTTCTTTTCTCTTTTTTTCTTTGCAAATTTCATTCTTTTGTGATGATTTTCATGTAATAAAACATTTTAGTATATTAAGTTTCTCTTTAAAATATCTATTTTGGATTCATAATTTGTAGATTCTTTAGCTTTTGTTTGACAAGTAGTTTGTAAGTGTATCTTTGATTTCAAGATGTTTTCTCCATCAAAATGTGATTTTTATGGAATTAAAACAAAAACAAAGTGCTTTATTTAAAATATTTTAAAATAACACTACCCACTTTTTTTAATGTGTATCTTAATTTTATAATTATTTTTATATTCAAGTAACAAATGTTGCTTCTGAAGGTCTCTCTCTCTCATATATATATATGTGTGTAAGTTATGAAGAATTTGGTAAACCGAATTGGTAAATCCAAGGAGGATGAAATCCTGAGAGCTCAATGTGAAGAACAGAGCTAATATTTAATGAACAACACACTTTAAGGTACCATTACAATAATTGGTGAAATAAATTATTGTAATGGTACCTTAAAGTGTCTGTTGTTCATTTTATATAATTTATCCAATGACAACCAATAAACAAGAGTAGCCTAGTAACTAGCTATTGTTATCCAGCTTTGTTACAATGCATCAAGTAATATCTGGCAAAAACGGATATTTAAGTTTCTTGTACCTTCGTGTATATGGAAAAAACAATGCATTTTGTATTTGTGTGCACAAAGCACCTTCATTCATTTTTGTCTTATATTGTCGTGTGTGTGTTTATATGTGCGTGTACATATATATATATATATATATATATATATATATATATATATGCGCGCATGTATGTTTATATGTGTGTGCACACTATATTGTACTGGTACAATTTGCCAGTAATAAATATACAATTATTTTTTTTTAATATTTATTTCAAACAAAAATGTCAATTGACAATTTACTAAAATGTAGGCTACTATAACAGCTGCTGCACTATGTTAATTTTTTTTTTTTCTTTTTTTCTTTAAGACTGATTCTAATTCTATTTGTAGACACAACCCTTTTTGGCTAACCCAATATCACTGCTCTGTACTTGTAAAAGTGGGTTTTCAATTATAGTATACTTTACGTACAGAGTAGTATTTATGGTTTTTAAAAATTATTTAAAATAGACATGAATAAAAATGATTTTACTGCAATCAAGCAACAAAAACCTCAAACATTCCATTGTGATAATTGTATTCTATATGATAGTACCTACACTGCTAAAGAGGTTCTTACCCATAAATTTAGAAAGTAAATTTTATACTTCCCAAAAGTATTCATAATCATTCAGACCACAGTGCACTCTGTCAATGAGAAATGCTAAAATTATACAAGTGATGTGTATAAACATATACACTTTTAATTCATATTGTAAATTCAATTTTATGTTCAAAATCAAGTCTTGTATAAGTGGTATAATTTTTAATATTTATGCATTTTTTTACACACACCCACTTCTAATCACTGAATGGCGTGGCAGGAATTTAATGGATATAGGCATTTAAACATGGTTATGGTGACCTGAATTTCTTTTCATGTATTGGGAATGGTGAATTATATAACTTTGATGTAGCATAGTCAGTGGTGCTAGACAGATCTGAGTACTAAAAAAAAAAAGCCGAAACAGCTGGTTGATTTTTATCACAGCCATCTCTAAGGTTTACAGAAAATATTTAGAAAAATTCCAATGGGCAGAAATTTTTTGTTGATGAAAGATTGCGGAGGGCTTTTATCTGGCTTCCCCACTAAGGCAGGGTGTGATACAAGTTTTTTTTTTTTTTTTTTTTATGGGGTGCACATGAATATGCATATAGGCCAAGGGTAAAAATTGTCCAATCACTGTCACTCTGACATCTATATTACACAGACCCCACTTCTCTTAGTGCAATGAGGAAGATACTGCTACAGGATTGAAATCCTTGGGACTGTCCACCTTTTTTCCATCTAAAATAGGGAGAGAACAGATACTACACTTTCATCTTGGGCTAAAGGTCTGAGGAGAATAGTCAGATTGGGTGAAGTTGATTTAAAAAGGCAGCAGTCACTCAAATAGCCACTCTTTAGCTTTATATAGAAAAGGATATCTGAATGCATAACATTTCAACCTTTGAAGCAGATCAGCTACAGAAGTAGAGGCCCATCCTGGGTGCCACTTGTGACAGATAAGAACAATAAACTGAAGCAACAGTTTGCTAAGGATCAACAAATAAGGAAATTTTAAAAAAAAAAAGTTTCTTGATTTGATTAGTCTCAATTTCTTCATGGAACATTCAGATGATAGGACCAGAATTTAGCATAAACAGGAAATTGCAAATCCATTATATTAACAGCTTAAGCTTCTGTTGCAATAGTATGGGGAATATTTTATTGACATACATTGAGAACATTGAAACCACTAAAAGTTTTCCAAATTCTACCTCAATTTATGACTGTACCTGTCATCTAGTGGCCACTTCTAGCAGGACATCACAATGTCACAAATTAAAAATGACAAATAACTTTGCTGTCTTAAAGTGGCCTCTACAGCCACTAGATCTCAATCCCATAGCACACCTTTGGGATGTGACTGAAAGAAAGATTTGAATTCTGGATGTGCAACTAACCAATATATAAAAATTGTGAAATACCATAACAGTGCAAAAAAAAAAAAAAAATTCCAAAAGTGTGGTCTCAATATCACCAAATACATGCCAAAAAGAATTGAAGTGATTCTAAAAGCTCTCTAACCTGATACTAAAAGAGTGTGTGTGTATACACACACACACACACACACACACACACACACACACTATAAGGTAGAACTCTTCTTGTAAAGCTCTTAGGCATGCTTATTGGACTTGGAGGGTTTTAACTTTTTTTTTCCTATGTAAGTGGAACTAGTTATAGTGGTTTATTTTTTCATAGTAACCATTAACTATTTGTAATGGTTTAGTATAAGGAATAATTTCTTTTTATAAATGTATGAAAATAATTTCTCAATTTTTCTCCTAAATTATATTTTCTGCTTTTCCTAATATTCTTTACTGAAAAGCTACAAAGTATTGATTTTGCTGTTTAAAAACAATTAAACAGGGATAGCAACCAATGTGTACACACTAAAATTATTTATACTGACTACTTCTAGTATAGTCTATTTACACAATTTCCCATATCTAGATAATTGGCAAATATTTAAGAGAATTTGTAATAGTTTGTGCTTTTCTTTTTAATGCAATAAAATTCCTTGTAACATTTTCAATTTGAAAACCAGGAAATAGTTTATTTTGCTTTCATGACAGTATTAAAAACTTTTTCAGTCCATTAAGTTTTTTACTATTTATACCCAATGTGTAAAAGCTTCTCTTGCATTTGCTGTTGACTAAAGATACTTTTTTCTTTTTATCTAATATATATATATATTTATTTCACTTTTTTATTTATCCAGGACCAAGCCCGAGTAGCCTTATCCTCACACAACTGGGACACAGCCCAAGCAACAGATTTCTTACTAAGCTAATGGCATACATAAATTGTGACAAGTCACAACTTTTTTCTTTTTTTTTTTTTTTTTTTTTTTTTTTTTTCTGACCCTGGCCTAACCTTGCAGCCTGCCAGTACATCACCTTGTTTGGGATATAACAAGGGTTATCATTGAAAGCAAAGTTGTTAATACATTTGTGATTGTTGAAATGATCAACAAAACTAAGATAATTAAAAAAAACTGATTTTATCATAATGTACAATCAAAGTTATAAGAAAAAAAATGTTTGAAGAAAATATAAGCCATTAAAGAAATATTTGGACAAGTCATCTTAGTGGTGGTGATTTTTGAAAAGAATGAAGGGGGTTGGATATTAAAATGAACAGCATGAAAGTTTTTGAATTCCTGTCCATTTAGTTCCTCTTAAAATTTTCTTTGAAACATAATAAACCTATTGCTTCATCCAGTTCTGAAACTTACTGTCACAAGGTTTAGTTACAGGTTTTTATATATATATATATATATATATATATAATGTGTGCATCTACACACATGCACTGAAAAATACAAACAGGGTGTGTATGGTATGTGTACTGGTAGTTCCATTTCTCTCTATCTTGCTCTTTCTCAAATTGCAGATCTTACCTGAATGAGAGGACAGGTTTCCTTTTGCTGTCTCTTACCTGGAAGTGGATTTTTAAAGCTCTCTCTGTCCAGTTAATGTATCTGTTTATTCAGAAAAGCTAGTTGATTTTTCAAGTGTTACTGTTAATTAAAAATTAATAAATTGTCGCCATCTGTTGCTCTCGTCAAGCATGTATTTTAAGAATGTTTCTGTTGTTAGAGTATTACATTTAATTTTATTTTTTTAAATTGGGGGGGTTGGAGAATACCGATTAAAAATAAAGAATAATGTTAATTTTTAAAATTGATAAAACGGAAATTCTTTTTCTCTTGTGTGCTGCCTTTGTTTTTGGTTATGTACTTTCAGCCATCTTTTGATGTATGGTTTCTTAGAAATTGCTTTCAAAAATGTTAATTTTGACCTGCATGAGTTTCATGAAAGTTCGTTTTTCAAATGTGAAAAGTTAATGTTTTTTCTTTTTTTTCCCCCTTGAAGTTTTAAATACTTAATACTAGGTTGTGTGTGTTTTTTTTTTTTTTTTTTTTTTTGTTACTTTTATGTTGTTATTGATACCTATATTTATTAAACAAATTTAACTTTTAAATAAGAGCTAAAAAAATAAGTTAATGTTAAATATTGTTCTGATTAATGCTTTATTTCCCTTCAAAAGCACTAGTTTCCTAATTAGATGCCAGTTTGTTTGTTGACTAATCACTTAGATATGAGTTTAAAAATTTGAATATCAGTCCTGATATTATAAAGCTTATTGTTATAATAAAATTAAGAAATCAATTTCTTTACTTGTTAATCTATAAATAATTAATTTTCTTACACTTAAGATTTTTAGTATATTTTCTGTAAATATAAATTCAATTTAGATTTTTTACTACTAATATTTTGACAGCTTATGCATAAAACTATCTATAATTTGTCCTTAGTATATGATATAGTGAAACTTTGAATTAGCATGCAATGGTTTTGAAAGTAATTCTAGGTATATTTTCAAGATTATATTAGAAAAAGGGATTCACAATTTTATTGCAGTATGTCTCTTGTCAGTACTTACTGAGCTCTTTGCTATATGCCGCTTCTCTTGCATCTTTGTGCACTCATGTTCTTGTGAAGAGTTCAATACACATTTATCTGATACATGTGTGTTTAGGTGCAAATGTGCATCAATGTTTATATATAAATGTTTGTATAGATAAACAGTTAAATATAAATGTACATACACACACCAGCCTTGAATTCGGTAATATAATACTAGCAATTCTGCATTTTAAAAAAAAAAAAAAAAAAAAAAAAAAAGCTTTTTATTTGCTCACTTTCAGATTTTTTTCTATTTTTTTACTTGTGAATTTTTCTATTTTCAACAAGCATATTAATTTATCTGAAATTTTGTTTATGGTTTGTATCTGCAAGCAATGACAGGTCCTGTTTACCAAACAGTCAACTATTCAATAAAATATTATTTTACTAACAGTCCTGGGTTCATGTTTGCTAAAATTTTAAACCATTCCATATATTAAACAAAAATGTTTTTATTTGTATTGTTTTGTTGCTATTTTTCAAATAAAACTTTGTACTTTTTATAATTGAAAAAATGTTGAAAAAAATTGAATGTCTGACCTCTTGCAATAGTAGAAACTTTTTTTTCTTCTTCTAATAATCACTTCTATATAAGATTGTTTATAACTAATATTACCTTAAACTAATGACTGGTAAGTTTTCTCTACTGGAAAATAGCTTAGATATTAATAAATATAACATTTTAAACTTAACTTTTTACAAGATTAAAATAGATTTTGGATACCTATTTGCTGGCCTATAAGACAACTTTTGGCGTATTCTGCCTTTCACCATTTGTATATTTATTTTAATGTCTGATAGGCTGGTAAATATTGGGTCCTTTATTCCCAGTTACATATTTCTATTCTTTTTTGAAATGGCAAACCTTTTAGTGTGTGTGTGTGTCCTGGTTGTAGGAAACAAAACTACCAGGTGGATTGAGTTAAAAATTGGTGTACACATGCTTTTTGACTCCAAGGTTCTATAGACATATTAGCTTATTAAATTGCTACAGGGAGTGGGGGTGGGGGAACTATCATCATCATCATGCTCCTGACCAACAGCTATGTTATAACTATTGGGTATGCTTGCTTCCTGCAACTTTTTTACCTGTTTGAGAACCTCTAGTTCTTGATCCCAGTAGAACAGGTGGATTAGTATGTTGAACTTTGACTTGTTTTGGAGGTTTATAATTGTACCTCTGCTGGAAAATACAACAGGTAATGTATTAAAATTGTTTTTAATTAACCAAAATAATTTTAAGTCATCCTTTTGATGTACATAATTTAAATAAAACGTAGCAAAGAAGCTAATTTCTAATTATTTTTTCAATAAAATCTATCCTAAAATACCTTATCACATGTTATCTTCCATTTTGTTTCAAATGCTTCATTCACTTCCCTGTTAAAAATCTTACTTTAAGCAGCAACATAGTTGATGGTTTTATGGTTTTAAAAAGACTCGTTTGTTTTTTGTTTTTTTTTTGTTGTTTTTTTAACTTGAAATTTGGAGAAAGTTGTTGCTTAATGAATAACAAATTTGAATGCATGTAGTTTATTGGAGGTACTTGCAATAATTTGTCATTGGTTGGGACAGAACTGCTAAATTCATATGAATACAAAAAAAAAATTCAAGGGTATGAATAAGATACATATATTTGAAGCAATTCTATGGACTGTCTCTAGGGTGTTGGCAATCATGACTTCACAATTTCTTGTCCTCTGTAGCTCAGAAACACATTGGGTAATTCTGATTATACATTTTTATTACAATAAATTTGCTTTTTTTTTTTTTTTTTTTTTTTTTTAATCTGAAATAAAATTGGCTAAGATAAAACCTAATCTAAATTAAAATTTCTCTGAATATCTACATTTAACATTAGATAAAAAATTTTACTAGGGCAAATCTGGTCTCTTAGTAAATAAATTTACATGGGCCTGTGGCTGATGGATTATTTCACACTCTACAACCCCCCTTTTTTTTCTCTGACAAAATGTCAGAAGCTTTTCACTACACTATTTCCATGGTAAATGTTCAGATAGGCTACATTCATATTCCAACCTGAACAGCTAAGACCCCCACTCCCTTCATGCCATGTCCACTAGGACAAATTATCCCCATCCTCTTTGTATCCTATTAATAAGGAAGCTCCATTTGCACAGCTTCCCAAGAACCTCTACGGAGCACACCCAAGAGGTTGCTTTTCTGATTACAATTTTAACCTCTTTAAGTCTAGGGTTAACTGTTATCTTGCCTACATATCCTCATAATCTGCATTTCTTACATTATTATTTATGTTCTACAATCTTATTCAGTAATTTTCTATGTAGAGGAGCTCTTTGTATTGGGTGACTAGTTGCGAAAAAACATTACAAAAATTAAAAATTCTGTTGATCTATCAGAAGTATTTTAGTCTATTCAATTTCAAAATACAGGCATCTCTTGATTAATGTGGTTTTGATTAGTATACTAAAATCTATATATCAAAATTCAATTAGTGTGGTAGAACAGTCCAGGTGAACTATAGTAACTTTTTTTTTTTTAAGTTACTGATGGTTACATTGGCAGCACTAATTGAGGGATTTCTGTATACTTGAAAATGCTGAATAATTCTGGTATACTAATAATTTACAAGTATATCTTTTCTATGTGCCATTTTCTTTAAGGACATTGATGATCATGGCTCTCAAAAATGTCCTGTCCTTTGCAGCTTTTAGTAAATTTTGTCTTTTTCTTACCTCTCCTAAATACTCCTGGCATCCCTTTACACAAGCTTGTTAGGTAGGTTATGTACCATTTTTCTCTGTCTCTCTTACTTTCAATATGGCCCCTGTGAATGTCAAATTTTACAAGCCATCTTTCCCCATTATGTCACTTTCTGATAGCCTACAACTGAATTCACAACTGTCATTGATGTTATATTAATCCAGATTGATACAAGGCTAAATATCCACTGTAAGTTGACAAATTTTGCTTACATCACAAGATTAATTTTTTTTTTTTTATTTAAGAGCCTTTAGAATAAATTACCAGACAATTAAAAGCAGGGTTTATTGATTATCTATGATGATTATGCATACAATATTAACTGAGTGTGAAAATATTTAATAAGTAATATGCTGCACAAAATATTCAGTAGGAACTCCCATCAAAATCACTTATTGATACTATTTTTTTTTAGCTATTGGTGCTAATTGAAATATTAACTATACCCACCACATTAGCTGGAGGAACAGAAAGTAATCCTTTTGAAAATGTGTTATACTATTGCATAAGTTGAAAAATGTATATAATATGGTGTATATTAGAACTAGACATTGGAAGCAAATATTTTCTTCTAGTT